TTGTTCCAGCAAGCGGGACTGGCCTAGGGGATTTTATAGGGGTTTTAATTACTTTTAATTGGACACTTTCAAATATTTCGTTTTAATTAAATTTTAATTAGGTGTAATATGTATTTATGTTAGCTTTTTATCATTTGTCAGCCGCCCTGAGTCCGAAAGGAGAAGGGCGGGATATAAATGGAATTAATAATAATAATAAAAATAATAATAAAGCGGTACTAACACTTCACATGATCTTGATTCTATGCCTCTGTTTGTACAAACCAGGATTGTGTTAGCTTTTTTGGCTGCGGCCGCACACGGCTGGCTCACGGTCAAGTGATCGTCCACCGGGACTCCAAGGTCCCTCTCCCAGTTACTGGTTTTGAGCCAGGTCTCCCCCAATCTGTATTTGTGCCTTTGGTTTTTTTCCTGCCTAAATGTAAAACTTTGCTTTTCTCCACATTGAAACTCATTTTGTGGGATAAGGCCCATGGCCCCTTCACGACTGGTGGACTTCAACTCCCAGAATTCCTCAGCCAGTACGGGGGAACTATGGCCCCTTCATGACTGGCGGACTTCAACTCCCAGAATTCCTGAGCCAGCATGGGGGAACTATGGCCCCTTCACGACTGGTGGACTTCAACTCCCAGAATTCCTCAGCCAGCATGGGGGAACTATGGCCCCTTCATGACTCGTGGACTTCAACTCCCAGAATTCCTCAGTCAGCGTGGGGGAACTATGGCCCCTTCATGACTGTGGATTTTAACTCCCAGAATTCCTCAGCCAGCGTGGGGGAACTATGACCCCCTTCACGACTCGTGGACTTCAACTCCCAGAATTCCTCAGCCAGTACGGGGGAACTATGGCCCCTTCATGACTCACGGACTTCAACTCCCAGAATTCCTGAGCCAACATGGGGGAACTATGGCCCCTTCATGACTTCTGGACGTCAACTCCCAGCACTTTTTCCGGTGCCGTTGTAACTCCGAAATGGTCGCTAAACGAGTGTTTGTAAGTCGAGGACTATTTTTTTTCCTATCAAACAGCGACTGTCAAATGTTTTTTTTTTTCCAGCCTTTATTCTGATAAATTAATTTTTTTTCCAAGCGGGACATCTTCAAAAAGCATCTTTTTTTGGGTGGGTGGGGGAGAGAAATCAGTTGCCTCTTTGCTCCGAATGTTGCAATCCACCTTGTATTTCCTCCCCCCAACACATACACACACACACACACACACACACATTCTTTCTGGTCTTTTTTTTTCTCTTTGTTTGCTTTTTCTGAATCGCCCGGCCTGGCACGCTCCTATTTCCGCAGGCTGTGTAAACCCTTTGTGTGCCTAAATCCTTAGCCTGCGGGCACGAAGCACACAAGAGACGGTTGCACAATCCCACATTGTCGCGCTTCAAAAAAAAAAAGAAGAAGAAGAAGAAGAAGGCTTAAGACTCGTGGGGGAAGGGGATGGATGCCTGGGCCTTTGGGGCAGCAGCCGCACCCACAAAATTTGGGAAGCGAAAAGGGTTTTGGGGTTTTTTTTTTCCAAAGGGGAGCGCTTTTGTTCTTGCAACTCCAGGGGGGACTCCCCCGATTTTTTGGGGGGGGGAAAGGAAGGAGTGTCCGACAACCTTGGCCCGGGGCTGTGTTTTCCCAGCTGCCTGCCACCTTCCCGCCCACGGGCACCTCCTGCCAAGGGACCTTATCTGGACAGGGTGCCCGGGGGGTGGATTGACGCGTTCCTGCCAGCCCTTTTGTGTGGGGGGCTGGTCCGGGACGGGCATCCATGTGCAAACAGACACGGCGTTCCCTGAAAGGGCCGGCGGGCACAAGCAGCCCCGTGGGCAGGGGGGGGACGGTGTGGGGGCCAGGGGCTTTCCAAGGGCTTGGCATCCCCTGGCAGAGTGGGGGGGGGCATCGTAAGGTATGTGGCAGTGTTTTTTTTTTTTATGGGCAGGTTTGGAAGCTTATGGAGTAGTCGCCGTGCTGAGATAAAGGGCTGGTGGGTTTTCTCTGCCTCTTCTTCCTCCCTTTTCTTCTTTCTTCTGCCGCTCCCTCCTTCTTCTCCGTTTCCTCCCCCCCCCTATTTCTTCAGCTCCACCAGCCTTACTCCTCTTCCTCCAGGAGCATCCAGGCTCCTGCTCCTGCTCCTGCTCCTTCGCCACCAGCATTCCTTCTCCTCCTCCGTTTCCTCCCCTTCTTCCTTCTGGTTTTCCTTCTCCTCTTCCTCCTTCTCCTTCTCCTTCTCGTATTCCTTTTCCTTCTTCTGTTTTTTTTTCCTTCTCCTCTACCTTCTCTTTTCCTTCTGCTCCTTAATTTCTCCTTCCTTCCTTCCTCCCTCCCTCCCTTTTTCTTCCTTGTTCCTATTTCCATCTCCTCCATTCCTTTCTTCCTCCCTCCCTCCCTCCCTCCCTTTCTTTCTTCTTTGTTCCTATTTCATTCCTTCCTCCAAACCTACTTCCTTCCTTCCTTCCTTCTTCCCTCTTTCTTTCCCTTCTCCCTCCCTCCCTCCCTCCCTCATTCCTTCTTTTCTTCTTCCCTCTTTCCTTCCCTCCTCCCTCTCCCTCCCTCCCTCCCTCATTCCTTCTTTTTTTCTTCCTCTCCTTCCCTCCTCCCTCTCCCTCCCTCATTTCTTCTTTTCTTCCTCCCTCTTTCCTTCCCTCCTCCCTCTCCCTCCCTCCCTCCCTCAAATGGATTCCCAATTGTCTAGCCAACAGTGGCAGCTTCTCTGGGGGGAATCAAATCCTGGTTTAAACTAAGGAACCAAACCAGGATTGGGAACCATTTCTGCCCCCCAGCCCTCTGACAGGGGTTGGGGCAGCGGCTGCTGGCTCCGCTGGACTCTTTGAGCGCCCACCTTTTTTGCCCCCTTGATGATGATAATAATAATAATGATGATGATGATGATGATGATGATGATGATGATGATGATAATAATTATGCTAATGATAATAATAATAATAATAATAATAATAATAATAATAATAATAATAATAATAATGATAAAGATAAAGATAGTGATGGTAATAATAATGATGATGATAATGATAACAACAACAGAGTTGGAAGGGTCCTTGGAGGTCATCCAGTCCAGCCCCCTGCTCAGGCAGGAAACCCTGTCCCATTTCAGACAAAGGGCTGTCCAGTCTCTTCTTAAAAGCCTCCAGGGATGGAACATTCACATTGTGGTCATAGCCCCAGGACTACCTGTATTTGGGCATCCAGGGTGCGGATACGAATTCTGCACAGTGCGAACAAGGCGTGTGTCGGGAGGGGGGCTCAGCTCCTCAGCCGGCCTTGAAATTTCACACACACCCCCCACTTTTGTTTCCCCCCCCCTCTGGGCACAGTACTCGACCGAACTGAAGAAGCTCTACTGCCAGATCGCCAAGACCTGCCCCATCCAGATCAAGGTCATGACCCCCCCGCCCCAGGGGGCCGTCATCCGAGCCATGCCCGTCTACAAGAAGGCCGAACACGTCACTGAGGTGGTCAAGCGCTGCCCGAACCACGAACTCAGCCGGGAATTCAACGAAGGTGAGTCCAGGTTTGGGGACGGGAAGGTCCGCAATATGGAAGGGGGCCCTGGAGGTCTTCTAGTCCAGCCCCTTGCTGAAGCAGGAGACCCTAGGAGAGCGGTGGGCAACGAAATATCATTTTAATGTATGCTGATTAGAGTACATTTAAAGTGACAATAAAGTTTTTATTCTATTCTATCCTATCCTATTCTATTCTATTCCATATTTTCTATTCTATTCTATTCTATTTTCTATTCTATTCCATTCCATTCCATATTTTCTATTCTATTCTATTCTATTCTATTCTATTCTATTCTATTCTATTATTTCCTATTCTATTCTATTTCCTATTCTATTCTATTCTATTCAACTATTCTATTCTATTTTATTCTATTCTTTTTTATATTCTATTCCATTCCATTCCATTCCATATTTTCTATTCTATTCTATTCTATTCTATTCCTTTTCTCTATTCCATTCCATTCCGTTCCATTCTATTCTATATTTATTCTATTCTATTCTGTCCTTTATTCTATCTGTTCACTCAGTGACCATTCAAAATTACAATATCACTGGAAAAAAATGACTGGTCCTCTCTCCTTCCTTCCTTCCTTCCTTCCTTCCTTCCTTCCTTCCTTCCTTCCTTCCTTCCTTCCTTCCTTCCTTCCTTCCTTTCCTTCCTTCCTCCTTCCTTCCTTTCCCTTTCCCTTTCCCTTTCCCTTTCCCTTTCTCTCTTTCCTTATTTATTAAATTTTATTTTATTTTTTAAATTTGTTTGCTGCCCATCTCGCTGCATATTAAAAAAAATATTGGAAGTGTATTTGCAAAGGTTGCAGCGCCCCACGGTCGACAACCCCACCGTCCGCTTAATGACCGCAGCAATAAAAGGTCACACAATCAGGCGTGACTCGCTTAGCAACGGACGTTGTCGTCTCAGTTGCGGTCGTAAGTCAAGGACCGCCTGTGTTTCCTGTATTTCAGTTTGGAGATGGGCCGGGCGTCTTCAAGCAAAGTTTGCCAAAAACGTGGAGCCTTCCACGAAGTGAACCGACACCTGTTTCCAGTTCAAAGAGCTTTGCAAAATAAATAAATAAATAAATATGAGAATATTGTCTCTAATTATGTTTAAAATGCGAATATGAGAAAAATAAAATAAATATGAGAATATTGAATGTTGGAATGGTTTCTGTCTGCTTTTCCCAGGCCAAATTGCTCCCCCCAGCCATCTCATCCGAGTGGAAGGCAACAGCCACGCGCAGTACGTGGAGGACCCCATCACCGGGCGGCAGAGCGTCCTGGTCCCTTACGAACCACCCCAGGTGAGCTGGGGGGGGCAGGTGGGGGGGGCGTCCGAGGGGTCGCTCCAGATCTTTTCAGGCGAGGAAGATGAAGTCCACCAGGTCCAATTAAGCTGATTTATTGCTAAAAGCCTCCACCCAGACGTCTCGCTCAGCCAACACCACTGAGCACTTGCTGAGAGTTAAATAAAAGTCTGCGGAATTCAAGGGAGTTTGGACTTTGTTCGCTTGTGGCTACGTAGGGATTCTACATTGATTCCTCTTTTGACTCCATCCCCAGGTTCTGCCACTACTCCTACACATCTCATTCCCCATCTCTCTCCTTCCTTCCTTCCTTCTTTCTTTCCTTCCTTCCTCTCGTTTCTCCCTCCCTCCCTTCCTCCTTCCCTTCCTCCTCCTTTCCCTTTCCTTCCTTTTTCCCTCCCTCCCTCCTCCTTCCCCTTTCTTTCTTTCCTTCCTTCCTTCCTTCCTTCCTTTCTCCTCATTCCATTTCTACCTTTCCCTCTTTCCCTCCCTTCCTTTCCTTCTCATTCCGTTACTTCCCTTTCCTCCCTCCCTCCTTCCCCTCTCTTTCCATCCTTCCTCCTCGTTCCTTTTCTTCCTTTCTCTCTCCCTCCTCCTTCCTCTTCCTTCCTTCCTTCCTTCCTTCTCATTCCATTTCTTCCTTCCTTCCCTCCCTTCCTTTCCTTCTCATTTCATAACTTCCCTTTCCTCCCTCCTTCCCCTCTTTCCTTCCTTCCTCCTTTCCATTTCTTCCTTTTTCCCTCCTCCTTCCTCTTCCTTCCTTCCTTCCTTCCTTCCTTTCCTTCCTTTCTTCCTTCCTTCCTTCCTCCTCATTTCATTTCTTCCTTTCCCTCCCTCCTTCCCTCCCTCCCTTCCTTCCTTTCCTTCTCATTCCTTTCCTTCTCATTCCATTTCTTCTCCTCCCTCCCTCCCTCTCTCTCTTTCCTCCCTCCCTCCTTCCCCTCTCTTTCCTTCCTTCCTCCCTCCCTCCCTCCCCCTTTTCTCAGGTGGAAAAGACCAGGTCCACAAACAAAGGTCCAATTCAATGGATTTATTGCTGAAAGCCCCTGCATGGGGATCTTGGTCCACTAACTGCGGGCACCTGCTAAGAGTCAGATAAGGGGAGGCACTCAAGGGGGGCACTAAAGGATCAAGGGGAGGCACTCAAGGGGGGGGGATGGGCAGTTCCCGTGTGGCTCCATAGGGATTCTAGGCTGAGCCCTCTTTTGACTCCGCCACTCCTTCTACACCCCCTCCAGCAACCTCCCCCCCCCTTTGTGCATCAAAGAAGCAGCTTTCTTGCAGTGCCAAAAATGACAGACGCCATCTTAAATGCGAGGTACAAAATGGAGCCATACAGGATAGTTTTTCCCCGGGATCTGCCTTGAAGAGTCCTCCGTTAAAAAACGACTTTAAACAGAACCGTCCTTTGACACGCTTGTGTGATAGTTGCTAAAAAAATATATATTATATTTTTAAAGTACCGTGCCTTGTTTTTACGTGTCTGAAGCACATCTGAGCAGAGAAAACAAAATGGAGCGTTTGGCACAAAGCAGGGCACCCTTCAAATAAATAAACCGTAAAGACCGAAGACTAAAATCCGTGTGTAGTTATACACACATTTCTTTTTATTTCTTTTTTTTTGTGTACCAGAAGATCAACTCCATGAAGAGCGTATTCTTAAATGAGCCAAAGAGCTAGGCTCGCTGCAGGCTTGCAACCCCAAAAGTCCGGCTGAGAAGATTTTAAATAATCTCCAGAGATAAGTTCAAAGTCGTGAGATAAAACAGGAAAATAGAGAGAGAGATTTTTACCCCTGCGTGTGGCCGTACGGTCTGTTTCCCACTTGGAAAGAAGACGCTTCTCTGTTTCAGTCGCCGTGATTTTGCAGAAATTCCCAATTTCCTAATCTCGGCCAATGCCGAATTAACAAATCGGGAAGAAGCCTCTGCATTGTAAAGTTTCAAATTTGCTGCTAGTCCTTATGGTGCTGGCCAAAACAGGGGACCTGGTTAGCTGCAAGACAGTGAAAGAGAGGATAAAGCATCCAGGAAAGCAGGATAGTGTCTCTTTGTGATTGTGTTTGTGTGTGGGCAACTTGGTTAAGTGCAAGACAGCGAAAGAGAGGGAAAAACATCCAGGAAAGCAGGATAGTGTCTCTTTGTGATTGTGTGTGTGTGAGTGTGAGTGTGTGCAACTTGGTTAGCTGCAAGACAGTGAAAGAGAGGATAAAGCATCCAGGAAAGCAGGATAGTGTCTCTTTGTGATTGTGTGTGTGTGTGGGACCTGGTTAGCTACAAGACAGCAAAAGAGGATAAAGCATCCAGGAAAGCAGATAGTGTCTCTTTGTGATTGTGTGTGTGCGTGTGTGTGTGGGACTTGGTTAGCTGCAAGACAGGGAGAAAGCAGGAAAGTAGGATAGTGTCTCTTTGTGATTGTGATTGTGTGTGTGTCTGTGGGACTTGGTTAGCTGCAAGACAGTGAAAGAGAGGATAAAGCATCCAGGAAAGCAGGATAGTGTCTCTTTGTGATTGTGTGTGTGTGTGTGACCTGGTTAGCTGCAAGACAACGAGAAAGAGGATAAAACATCCAGGAAAGCAGGATAGCAGTCTCTTTGTGTGTTTGTGTGTCTCTGTGTGCAGAGATAACCCCCCCTACTATCTTTTGTGTGGCATCAGCAGTCGCAACACCCAACAATTAGACAGGACCTACAGCTGAGATTCTCAGGTAACTCATATTCAACCCAAACACTTCCTTTTCTCTCTCTCTCTCCCGCAAACCCAGGTTGGCACCGAATTCACAACCGTCCTCTACAATTTCATGTGCAACAGCAGTTGCGTCGGCGGCATGAACAGACGCCCCATCCTCATCATCGTGACGCTGGAAGCCAGAGAGTAAGTCCGTCGCGACGGCAGGAAATCTGAAAAAAAAAAAAAAAACTCGGGGCGCTGGGAAACTGGCATGTACTCGCGACGGTTGCCGTGTCTCCCGGGGTCACGTGACCCTCCCCCCCTTTTTGCGACCTCCTGGCAAGCCGAGCCAAAGATTCGTTCAACGGGCATGATGCTCATGTAACAACTTGCAGCGATTCACTTAACAACTGGGGCAAACCTCACTGAGCAACCGTCTCGGTTAGCGACGGGAATTTTGGGCTCAGTTGTGGTCGTAAGTTGAGGACTCCCTGGATTAGCGCCCGGCTGCTCGGGGGGGGGGGCTGAGTTCGCAGCCAGCGGTCAAAGCCCGTTTTGAGCATCGCGCCCTCCATGCTTTCCCTCTGGCTGGGTTCACATAACAAGGTAAACCCAGGTTAAGCGAGCGGAGATGCTGGTGTTTATAATGTACAGGTGGTCCTTGACTTACGACGGGTTCGAACGTACGACGAATTTCCCACCCCTCAAAAGTTACTGGCTGCCCCCCTCCCTTTCCTGCATTTACACTTGTCTGCAGCGTCCCGCAGTTGTGCGACACACACAATTTGCTGTATTCCCCCCCCCCAAAAAAATGGAGTGTTTACTTCCAGTTTGGGGGACAAAGCGCCCCATAGGAAATAGTGGATTCGCTTAACAACCGCCACGTTCGCTTAACGACCCTGGCACTCACTGAATGGCCGTGACATTCGCTTAACCACCCTGGCGTTTGCCGCAAGAAGAGATTGTAAACCTGGGTCGGTCACGTGGGCGACCTGCTTAACGACCGTCGCGACTTAAGTCGTGGTTGTAAGCCGAGGACCGACGGTATAAAGGCCTCTCCTGGGTGAATCCATCTCAGTCTGGCCTGCTTCCTGCAACGTACAACTTGGCTTTTTCGCAAAACACCCGAACTTGAAAATTCCCACGCCCGTCAATAGCAATCAGGGTTAATTCGTGGTTTGGAGCTGGCTTGGCCAGGTGACCCATATTTGTGCATGAGTCATATTTGTGCATGAGTCATGGATGGGAAGGAACAGACTTAGACTCAACCCTTCCAAGACCGAGTGGCTGTGGTTGCCGGCGCCCCGGCATAGTCAGCTGGTTCCATCGCTGTCTATAGGGGGCGAATCTTTGGCCCCCTCAGAGAGGGCGCGCAATCTGGGAGTCCTCCTGGATCCACGGCTGACACTGGAAGATCATTTGTCGGCCGTGACCAGGGGGGCGTTTTATCAGGTGCGCCTGATTTACCAGTTGCGCCCCTTTCTGGACCGGGACACTTTGCGCACAGTCACTCAGGCCCTCGTCACCTCTCGCCTGGACTACTGTAACGCTCTTTACATGGGGCTCCCTATGGGGAGCATCCGGAGGCTCCAACTGGTCCAGAATGCGGCCGCGCGGGCGGTGTTGGGAGCGACACGTCGCTCCCATGTAACGCCGCTGCTGCGCGAGCTGCACTGGTTGCCAGTGGCCTTCCG